CCTATTCTTATTCCCTTTTGTTTTGCCTAAGAAATCCAAAAATAGTTGACTATGATTGTCAGGGAGGACAACCATTTGCTTTAAAAGCTTTTTATTCATCATCTTGGCCAACCTTACTATTACTTATAGCCATACCTGCTATCTCAGCATGGATCAATGAAGGGTTTTTGTGAACAATTGGCTTCATTTTGATGTTAAAACTCAGATATCCAGCTTTTATCAATCCCTGCACCATATGCTTCAAAGCTATGCAATCTTCAAGAGAATGGCCTGTGATGCCAAAATGGTATTCACATCGGGCATTAGGGTCGTACCATTTGAGAAAAAGTGATTTATGAGGTTCAGCAGAGATTAGGGCAATGAGATAGTTTTCTAAGAGCAATGGATATAACTCTGTATAAGACATGGGTATTAGATCAATAGGGGCTTTTCCTTTGGTGTTGCCAAAGTTTTTCTGTCATATGGTTAGTTTGCTTTGTTGAAAAGATGCTAGTATAGTTGGTCTCGAGGTGAATTGAGAAATTTTAGGTTAAAGATTAGGCTGATAAAATGGTGATTAGATAGCATGCTGAACAAACGATTGTGAAATGTGAGGTCGTGGAAATGGATTCAGGTGTGAAATTCTTTGAGGTTGGATGAAATTTGGGGGCCCAATCCTACGTGCTTGGAAAGGAGGTTGAAAGTGGTCATAAGAAGGATTTAGGTACGGGTTAGGACTCAGAATAGTTAGTGATAGTTGGTTGAAGCCAGGTGACTCCTTCTTAGAAATCAAACTTTTAAGCTTAATCATTTACGTGGCTAGTTCACCCATTCCTCTCTTGAGTTTGCCCAAACCTTGATCACTGTTCAAATCATCCACTGCCTTAATATGTTCTGGAAGAGTGCTAAAACTAAAAGGAGCCAGTTGATCTTGACTTGATGGAATCGAATGTGACAACGATCCTTGAGGAGGAATAAATTCAACTCCACCACTACCTTTAACCATTTCTATCAATTGAGCCATCTGCTGTTTCATCTCTCGAAGCTCGAGCCATAATTCCTTTTGATTCAACTCCAAAGCACTAATCCTTGCTTCCAATCGATCTTTCATTTTTGCCATTCTAATTTCTACCAAGACAGACATTTTATTCTGGGACTTAGACAAAAAATTCTAGATTACTACCCTTATTGAATGAATATCACAAAAACAATGACACACAAAGTATGTTTATGAACACATGAATATGATGGCTAAAGAATGTCATGAAATGCATATATGCCTATGACAAATGATTTTTATATGTACAAGGACCCAAATGAAAATTTTCGTCAATCATGAATGTGTATGCAAGGAATATAATGTTATATTGCAGGGATAGTGGGATATGAAATGCAATGTATGTTCCATACGACCTTATTATTTATGAATCTATATGCATGAAGTGCAATGACATATTTACATGAATGATGAGATGTATTCCTATGACTAGTGCAACATATTTGTTTGAAATGCATGAACTTATCAATTGCACGTTATATTTTTATATGGAATGCAATGCTTGTGTTATGTCAACCTAGTGAAACTAACACTACCTTTAAACATGTAATGAGATGGAATGTGCGCACTACTTATTAAGACGCGTATGATAGGCATGTATCATTTATCAACAAGTGTATAACGCAGGATGTATGCACTGTCCATTGATGTGGATAGGATGGAATGCTCATATTATCCTATCATGATGTACATGGGATATGATACATGTATTATTTCATCATGATGCATGAAATGCGAAAGATGAAACAAAATATGAAAAAAAAAATTGAAAAGGAAGAACAAAAGAACTAGGACTTGAAAATTAATTTTATTCGGTCAATAAACAAAGAATTCTTTAAAAAAATCCTTAATTTTTTGAAAAAATTTTTTTTCTTTTTTATTTTTTTGCTTGTTGGATTAATGCTAAAAATAATTCATTCTATTCTAAAATATTTTATGAAAATGTAAATTTTGGATAACTACCAAAGGAATGAAATACATGTAAAAAAAAAGCTTCAAGAAAATGCTATTCTCTTATTTCTACAAAAGGGTAATGCTCTATCGAAGGTCAGTCCCCTAAGGTTCACTGTATGCTGAGTGAAGATTTGTTCATCTAAAGGTTTCCAAATTGTTCTTCACTGGCATCCACATTGGACTAGTAAGAAACCCCGATCCTTACCCATTACAGGCTATGAACGAAAAGGGTTCAATTTGAGTGAAAGTGTTTTACTAGCAAATGCGGAGGTTATCACCTCACGAAAGCGTAGCTACTTCACTTCCTCTTAAAAGGGGTAGAGCCCAGGTATAAAGCTCATGCATGTGAGCGAATATGCAAAGTGTGCATAAAGCAATGTATTACTCAAAATAACATGAATAAATCATAATCACAAAATCAAAATAAATTAATAACTAACATAAAATTTATTTTATTTATTAACTCGTATATATATTTTTGAAAAATTAAAATAAGGGGATTAAACTAAATGTTAAATAAAACCAATCAAATCCAACCATTGCTAACAGCGCATAATTAAAATTTTGGCCTGACTCTCAAATCTTCCCAGTGGAGTCGCCAAGCTGTCATAACGGTTTTGGAACGCCAGACGTAATAGCATTTTAAAATTGAGAAAAATAAAAGAGAGTCACCACTAATCTTTGTTAGGGTGTGATTGGTCACCAAAAAGTTTATCTTTTTAATAAAACTATAAAAACGGGTTTAAAGTTTTTTAAAAAGATAAATTTTGGTCTACGAAAAATCAGGTTGGGTCCAGGAGTTGGTTACGTGTGGGGAAGGATTAGTACCCTCACAACGCCCATAAATTGGTACCATTTAATTATGCACTATTTTCGATGTTGGATAAAAATGGTTTTGACTTGAAATTTAATACTAATTCCCTTCGTTTTAAAAAATATTTTTGCTAAAATTTTTAAAAATTTAGAAATATTGAGAAAATCTTTAAGTTAAAGAATTATCTTAAAATTCTCCAACATCTAGGCAGAATTTAAAATAACTTTTTTCGCTTAAGATTTAACACAACAATCCTTAAAATGAAATAACACTCTTTATAGAAAATTGTTGGTGACTCTCCAACATCTAGGTAAAGTACTAAGAATTATTTCTTTCGGAATGTTATTTTTATTTTATTTTGTAATATAACAATTTTTTTTAAAGTATTATTCTTTTTTTATTATAAAATATTTTATCACCAAATAGTAAATAAAAATTAAAGACAAAATATTGTAAATAATTACTGATAATAACATGCTAACGTATGTATGCCAATGAATGTTATGTAGGAAGAGATGCAATTTAAAAGTTGGATTCTTAAGTATAATGAGGCCACCCCGACTCTCCAACATCTAGGCAAAGCTTAGGTGCGATTGTTTATATTTAAGATCCCAATTTACTATTATACTTTTTATTTATTAATTTTATTATTAATGCGAATTACGAAATTGTGTGAAAAGACTTAACGAAGTAAAGTTTCCTAAATACCCCATCATCTAGGCAGCATTCAGGAACAAATTACTTGAAATGAGAGTTTCACACATGTCCTTAAGAGTTTCAGAAGGTTTTGAGTAAGGGCTTGAGCAGAGGTTTTAAAGGTTTGGTTTTAAGGCTTGAATTTTAGGATATGGAGGGTTTAGGGTTTTGATTTTAGAGTTTGGAGATTTTAAGGTTTAGGTTTTGAGGTTTGGGGTTTTGATTTAAGGGTTTGGATTTTAGGGATTTTGGGGTTTGGATTTAAAGGATTTCAAATTTTAGGGGTTTTAGAAAACGCGAACATCTCTAAAAATTTCCAACATCTAGGCGAACTTTAGGAGCAAGTTCAATTTTTATAATTTTTAAAAATTAATTTAAAAAACATAATTTTTTATAAAAATGCTATCTTTTTTAAAAAGGTTCCATTTTTATGAAAACTTATTATCAAAAATATTATTAACTTATTTAGTATTTTTTATAATAATAATTCCCCAACATCTTGGAGGTATTATTATTATTTTTGAAATATGATTTAATTTCCTCCAACATCTAGGCATGGAAAATAAAAAAAAAATTCTATTATTATTATTATTATTATTATTTAAGCATTTTTAATTTTTTTTAATTATTATCTTACTTTGTTTTCATTTTATTATTATTAAAAAACAATTAAAAAAATTATCTTAACAAATTTAAAAATTTATCATGCATAAATATAAAAATACTCAAAATAACAAAAATAATAATATATAAAAAAATTAGAAAATTAAAAAAAAAAAATTTACTTGAACAGGACCGGTCAATGGTGATTCGGTTGAGCCAATTGAAAAGTGGTTCGGGTCGATATAGGGAGCAGTTCGATCCAGTCTGGTCAAACCGATTCAAAATCGCTGAGGAGTCGGGTTGGCGAGTCCATTGCGCGGACCCCGAGTAGGTCCGGGTACACGCACGGATCCTCTCCTGCCCAAAACAATGTCATTTTGAGCTTTGCTTTCCTATATATAACTAAAGATTTTTTTTGTTCATTCTTTTTTGTTTCAAAAAAAAAAAAGGAAAGAGAGCTCTAGGGCTCTCACTGTCCGATCGTCGGACCATTGCACCGACCGTCGCTTGGGTCATCGTCGACGGTTGCTGTCAGTGGTTTTCGATCATTGAAAAATATAAAAATTATTTTGAAAGCTCGTTTCAACGTCTTCTTTCTAGATCTGGCTCTCTTTTCACCAGAAACAGCCCCGATCATCATAGATTAGGTCTTGAAGTTTTCTGCCTTCTTCTTTTTTTTTTGAAATGAGACTGATATATTTTTTTTTTACTTTTGCAGGTAGCTTGGCTCTAGGTTCCTCCCTGCGGGGAAGACTATGTTTGTCTTTATATTTCTGTGGATCTGTTTTGGTTTTTTCTTAGGTGGAGATAGGGGTTTTGTTTGGGACTGTTGAAAGTTTTTTTTTTTTAGGAGGGTAGTTCATCTAAGCTTGGTGGTTTCTGGTAGGGGTGAAATGAATGGGCTCTTGGGCATCCGAGAGAGAGGTTCCAAGGGGAAGAATCTATGAGGTTTTTAAGGAGCTTCAAAGGGGAGTAGATGATGGTTGTAGGGGTGGCTATTGGAAGTGGCAGGAGGGTGAGCTGTAGGGTGGTAAGTAGGTAATGTAGGTGGGCTGTAAGGTGGCTGGTCGGGGGCAGCAGCAGTGTCGTACACCAGCCACCCTGGTTTCTATCTCTTTTTTCCTTTTTTTATTATTATTTTTTAATATATTATTATTATTATTATTATTATTATTAAAATTATTAATATTAAACTGAAATGAAAATAGTAGACCTGGACAAAATCAATGTTTACACGAGCAAATAATATGTGTCAATTAGGTAATACAGATAATGCTCAAATTTTTATCTTTGCAGGAGATAATCCATCTCAGCATGGTACAGGTAATAACCAATCCTATTATCATTCTATCAATTCTGTGTTAAATTCACACACTTCTTCCTCTAGAAAAACTAGAACTGAAGAAATTAAAATGTTTCATTTTATAAATAATTTTTGTCTCTGCACTAGAAATAATATCTTTTTCCAAAAAAGTTTGATATTATACTTATGTGCAAGGATATTTTTATTTTCAAAACTATAAACCATATAGTTTAGATATTTTGATTGACACAGAAGCAATAATCTCTAATTGTCGACCTAATGCCTTGCCTTCAACCAGATGGCAACCCATGAAACATCCTATCATAATCATTGGTATTGATGGTAAGGAAACTATTGTTAGCCTAAAAGCTAAAAATGTCCATGTTTCCTTAAATGATATTAAGTTTATAATTCCTAAATACTATGTTTTCCTAACATGCATGGAGACATCTTGCTAGGAAATAATTTTATACATAAATATTTACCATTTTTGTTAATACAGATCATCTTACTTTTACTATTGATAAAAAATCAATAGATGTTCCTTTACTATCCAAGCATAAACATGTTTGTGATACAGGATTTCATCCAGAAATAAGTCATATTTCTGAAATTAAAGCTATCAATGAAAAACATTGGCTTTATAAAAATTTGTAGGAAAACTTCAGTGAACAACCATTGAAGCTTTGGAAGCAAAGTCCAAGATACTGTGAACTTACTCTTCACGATCCAAAAGAGATTGTTAGAGTAAAACCAATGATCTATACCAAACAGGATATAGATGAATTCAAAGTTCAAATTTCAGAATTGCTCGACAAAGGTCAGATGCACGGGTATTATCCTTCCATTGCATTGTTTAAGTTATGAAATTCTTCATCCAGTGCATTAAGTGACTAAGGTGATGGAGGAGATCCAAAATGTGACTTGTTCCACATTTACCATCTTTCTTGATACTGATATAGTAATTGTGTGGGATGATCTAGATCTTCCATTTTAGATAATCTTTCCAATAGCTAGATTGCTTCTGGTTCATTTTCAATGTCCATATCTTCATGTGGTTTAAGAAATCTAAGGACAAAAATACGTTTGCTATCTGTCAAACAAGCTTTTTTTGGATAGTCTAGTTTTGAGGCTAAATGGAGAAAGAATTTTGCTTTTTCCATGAGGTCTATTCCTGTTTGAAAGTGGTAACTGTTTGGGTTTGAATATTTATTAATGGTTTTGTTTAAATTATCTAAGAACTCGATATGGTCTGTTGGTGGATCATGTATATTAAGAGGTTGAAGGAAATATCCAATGGATATTCTATCAAATTCCCATATTTGATAAGGTTGGTAAAATCTTTCTCTTTGAAAGGTACCCAAAAGACTGTATATAGTAAAATGAATGTAATAAAAATGTTTTGGCCATTTTATACATTCATAAAAGTGATACTTTATAAAAGCTGAAAAATCTTTTAAAAGATGAAAAGAAAAATTTTGTACAGTAATTTGTCCAACTAAACCAAGTTCAATGCTTTTTACATCAAAGGTTTCATGATGAAGTCAAAATTTTATCTTGGGTATATGTTCACCAAGAGCAGTATTATACATATAAGTAGAAGTATAATAATCAAAAAAATTTTCTATCAACAGTTTTTCTGTTGATTGCAAAATAGAAGAATTAATTTGCTGGAACAATTCCTTGGTTAGGAAAACCATAGCTTTTTCATAAAGAAGTATTCTCTTAAGCTTGTTTAGCTTAAAGGAAACATAATTTTCTTTTTCCAAATATTCACATAGATTCAAGAAATTGTTTATCTCTTGAATACTGTATTGATTTTCTTCAAAAGCAAAGAAATCAATATCTTGTTGTTTTAGCAGATTAGTTGCTAGAAGGCTTTGGAAAGCTATTTCTTTACAACTCTAAAATTCTTTAGCCTAGTTGACTAAGAATTCAGCTAATTTGGTCATCCCTTTTTGGAAGTTGGATTTGTTTTCTAAGAGATGGGATTTCCAAATATTATTTAACAAATTGTAGACTTGTGGTTCAAGTCCACGGTTGTAAAAATCTTTAATCTCCGGGTTAGAGAGTTTTGTTCTTTCAAGCAATTGTTCTGTCAAAGAAACTATTTTCTGTTGTTATTAAGTCATACTCATATGAACGTGGCTACAATTATAGCGTATTGTATGGGAAAGAAAATTGGTTTTCCATATGGCATGAAAATGACAATTGACAACCGAACCGGAAGATTTTTTCTTTCTTCTTCTAACTTTTAACTGGAAAGTGAGTAAAGTATTCTATAGTCTATGCTGTCTCTTTGCTCCAGTTTTTCTGATTTGGAAGTATTTCTACACTAAACTCATGTACCTAAATTTTTAATTTTTTATTGAAAAAAAAGAAATTGAATAATTATTGAATTTTAGTTCAGGGATTTTTTTATCCTTTTTGTCTATATATTTTTTCTTGTGTTAAAAATAAATCTGAATCTGCAAATAAACTAAAAAAG